CATTGTACAGTGGCATTAAGTGCCGAAATGTGCACCTCTGCCTACCCCATCGGGGATAAAAGGAGGTGAGCTTATTGCCATATACCGGGCACAATTCCAGACTCCGTGCTACTACTGAGAATATTTTTTAAACTGGTTATTCTACTCTTAACACTATTCTAAAATGGTCATATTTTGTTTACAGGTGTTTCAAATACTTTGCAGAATCTCTGCGTTCAGGAGGATTCACAGGCAGAAGGTGTAGGAACCTCCGTGACGCTAAACTAGGCCGAAGTACATTACCTGAAACACTGAAAATGGGAGGTGTTATACCTAAAACAGGGTAGGTAGAGTTTTATGCATCTATTTTATTAACTAGCGACCCGAACCGGCTTCGCACCGGTGCAATGTGCATGTATTATACATACAAACCTTCCTTAAGAATCACTCTATCTATTAAAAAAAACCGCATCAAAATCCGTTGCGTAGTTTTAAAGATCTAAGCATACATAGGGACAGACAGACGGCGGATAGCGACTTTGTCTACTATGTAGTGAAGTGAATAAATCTTCCGACACCAGTTGTGTACTATTAGGTGTTATAGGCTGTCGTTTGGTCGAAAGATCCCAAGTGCAAACTGCCGAGCAAGAGGACACTGGTTCGATGTCCGTGTATTAAAAATCTAAAGTCTTTATAAACATAATTATTTTGACTCTGACATCTGGTGAAGATAACATAACAGCACGTCTTTAACCCCGAAGGGTTACATTACGGCACTTAATGCCACTGTACAATGTAACACTCACTTTTCACTATTTATGTTATGAGTCCCATGTAATTGGGGGTGAGCCTATTGCCATGTACCGCTTGCTTAATGCGGGTTGGCGATTTCAAACTTATTATTAGAAAATTTAAGTCCAGGTTTCCTCACGGTGTTTTCCTTCACCGTTTGTCAGTGGTGTCTAGATAATCTTAGAAAGTACATATAACTCGGAAAAAGTCACATTGGTACTTGCCGTTGGTAGGTTTCGAGCCCATGCATGAGTTTCATGCATGAGAAGCGGGCGTCTTAACTCGTCGAGTACCGTCATTATAGACACAATTATAGAACAATAGGTTGCGGTCATCGGTGACCGCTTGGTGTTTGACAGTTACCTCCTGGCCACCACGATATTATTGTCTCACGATAGCTGTGATAAAACCAATGTCATTTAAATTAATTTTATTTCATTTTTTTTTACAGAAAAACGGGTATCTACTATATGCAGACTAATGAAACGCCGCCGTTCTCTCGAGGTTGAGCAAAGAAGAGTAATGGTTGTCACATCGAATCTTAGTTTAATATTGTACATACTCTTAGATTATATAATTTATTTTATATATAAGTACCTGATTATACTATAAAATCTTATGTTAAGATTTGATTATAGTGAATTAATTTAATTCTTGCTTTTTCTTTTTTCTTTCAATATCATGTGTAACATATATAACATCACGCCTTTTAGCACTTAATGCCATAGTACAAT